CAGAATCCCGAAATTTAAAATCCTGAAAGATCAGAATCCCAAAATTTAAAACCCAGAAAGAACAGAATCCCGAAATTTAAAAATTTGAAAGATCAGAATCCCAAAATTTAAAATCCAGAAAGAGCAGAATCCCGAAATTTAAAGTCCTGAAAGATCAGAATCCCAAAATTTAAAATCCTGAAAGAACAGAATCCCGAAATTTAAAATCCTGAAAGATCAGAATCCCGAGAAACAGTCTGGGAGAAATTAAAAAATTTTTTTTCGAAATACCTTATTTTAAACATTTACAAAATAGCGTTTAAATAGTGTTTATATATTTTAAACATTCAAAATAAATTATAAAATGTAAAACCAGATTATATGAAGAATTTATAACGAAAATTAGCAAGAGTCCTAATATAGTCCATAAAATCTGGTCGGTTTTTACGATCATTAACTATATTTTTAAGCCTTTCATCCCGATAAAACAAACATTTTTTTTCTTTTTCTATCCTCATAGAAAGCGTTCACTTTCGTTTTCTACGTGCTGCTAGTTTTTTTGAAACTCTCTAATACTGCGATAAACACCGACATGAACATTACCTGCTAAATTTTCCCATCGCTTATGTCATATTCTGGTTTTATATTTTTATGATTTTTAAAGGTTTCAAATATATGAACACAATTCAAACGCTGTTTTGTCAATGTTTAGAAATAAAGGTATTTCATATTTTTGAAAAATTTCTCCCAAAGTCTATTTTCCGGGATCCTTATATTTAAGGATTTTAAATTTCGGGATTCTGATCTTTCAGGATTTTATGAATTTGGGATTTCAAATTTCGGGATTTTAAATTTCAGGATTTCGACACTCGGGAGTTTAAGATTCGGGATTATGATTGACATCCATTGGCAGGAGATGTTAAAATCTATCTTCTCTTCTCTTCTCTTTCTTTCTTTCTTTCTTTGTAACCAAGCAGTGTATCCCCCCTCCACTTTCCACGTGATCAAAGTGGAATAGTCTATTTTATTTATGAGTTATTGGCAGGGCATAATGGTTGTGCAAACTAACGAAAAGAGGGAGAAACACAATTATATTAGGACTCGACTAGGCATAAAATGAGGGATCGATTTAATATTGTTACTATGTAATAAACTGATCCCCCATAAGTTTTCGGCCCAACTAAGAAGGGAATCCAAAACAAATTCTGATCTTTAGTCGGTCAGATTTTAGATCGCTGGCAGGAGTTCGTAAACAATAAAGAGGGATATATTTTATTTAAAAGACAATAAGTAAATGTTCGTTCTTTTATTTGGATTTCGAAAATTGAATATACTGATATCAAAATTATTTATTATTAAACACACTTGTTTCAAATAATTCACCAACCAAACTCTAAACTTTCTCCACTAAGAATTAATGCTTAAACACTCAACGAGGCTCCATACTTCGAAAGTCTATTGCAGTCGTTCTCAAACTTTTCGGCCAAATGTACGCTTTTCACTATGTGGCAGGATTTTAAATTTCAAGATTCTGATCTTTCGGGATTTTATAAATTCGGGATTTAAATTCCAGGATTTTAAACTACAGGTTTTTGACATTCAGAATTTTAAGATTCGGTGTTATGATCAGCACCCAATAAATATATGCCATTGATTCCCCTGATTTAGCCACATCAGACTACCAGCTTTTGTCGGGCGCTTTCAAACAATTTGAGGGGTGAATCGTTCAACAACGTTGTGGAGCTTAAAACAAGACTTATTGATTTTTCGAGTCAAAATGAGAATTCTATCGTCTAGGCATTGAACAATTAGTGGATTGCTAGCAGGAGGTCATCAACCAGGAAGAGGGATATATTTTATTTAAAAGACAATTCTCTTTCTTTTATTTGGATTTTGAAATATGAATATACTGATATCAAACGATTATCATGTATTATTAAACAAACACACACTTGTTTCAAATAATTCACCAGCCAAACCCTAAGCTTTCTCTAGTAACAATGAATGGTGACACACTCAACGATGCTCCATATTTTGAAAGTCTATTGCAGTCGTTCTCAAACTTTTCGGCCCAATGTACGCTTTTGACTATGTGTCAGGATTTTAAATTTCGGGTTTCTGCTCTTTCAGGATTTTATAATTTCAAGATTTCAAATTCCAGGATTTTAAACTACTGGCTTTTGACATTCGGAATTTTAAGATTCGGTATTATGATCGGCAACCAATATATATATGCCATTGATTCCCCTGATTTAGCCACATTAGTTTTTGTCGGGTGCTTTCAAACAATTTTTTTATAAATTCGAGATTTCAAATTTCGGGATTTTCAAATTCAGGATTTCGATATACGGGGTTTTAAGATTCGGTGTTATGATCGGCTCCCCTAGCTGTCACCCTGTTACACCACGTGTGCAGATCCAACCAAAGCTCAGTTGACAACCTGTTTGCATACCGGTGGCAACAATTGACACCCGGTGAAAGCGCGATTCTAAATCTTCTGGTTATCTGTCAGGTCGGCGCACTGATTCACCTGGGTTCTTTGAATCTCTGGTGCAACACTGAGTGCAAAGTCTATTTTGATATCATCTGCGGCCAGCCTATTATATAGTGGGGTCATGGCAGATAAACCTCTTTTAGAACAAATGTTCTTTATTGACATTAAATTCGATTCAAACGATCCGTTCGTGAAAGATACGCTACAAACATATCATATGTTTCGCATCAGATAAATCTTCTTATAGGACTAGGATTACGATACTTTTATTAAAAACCAAAACAGGAATTGTTCTTTAATGATCAATACACATTTCGTCAGAAATTTGGCATTAGTTCCTGGAAAATCTGATAATTTGAGGAAAAAATAACATGAATATAAACTGATACGATGCAATTTTTTTAATCATATTCACCCTGTAAGGGCCCAAGAGCCATCCGAGGTAAAGTTACAAAGTAAGTGGCACAGTTTATGAGTATATGTGAGGAAGATAACGATTAACCCTAGATTTGAACAGGCTAAGATTGTAGTAATCGGGGAGGCATAATCATATGAATCAGTACCACAAATTAGCGGTTCGTGGGAATAAGCAGTTCGAGTGGGCTTTGCATCTCTCCCATGGAACATGAAGGGTAGGAGCATAGTTCGTAACAAGGTGCGTCCTATAGCGGGCCTTAATCGTGAGGGTTAGAACTGGTGGAACTAAGGAATGTCGTTCGTCTGAACACTTTCTTTGGAAATAGCAATGGAGTAACGTTTCGTATGAGAGGAAAGGGATGGTAGAGTGAAAATAATTCATCAACCAGAAAGCCACAGTTGAATACATGGTAGATGATACTCATCTTATGCGTTTATACGTTTGTGTAGCCACAATTACAAGAGGTGATGGTGTATGAGTTTTATGTTTGCAGTGTTGTTGAAGTTATATTTTGGAATACAGTTTGATTTCTTTGAGAAATTGTATGACATTATATAGTTTCATATCAAGAAAGAGGTCCTTGATGTATGGTTGGTTGGTTTTGTTTAGCGGCATATCAACCTCTACGGGATATTTAATGACGAAATATATATATTTTTGAACAAACTTTTATGGCTTCAACTATCGATAAAATGTATTGCTGGTAACTTTACTTTAAATATGTATTTTTTTACTTTCATAGTGTCTTGTTTTTGTTCGGGAGCAGTTTACTGTTTGACGATAGTTGGGACCCTAACTGGTATTACCACCCCGGGTAAGGGTAGACCTGGGCTCAACAGCAACTAAGAGGTGATCCTACCTCAAAACCTCCAATTTGCCGAATTTATTTTATCCTCATAGGCAGGAACTTGGAACTACAGTGGACATGGAATTGTTGAGAGCCATGATCTTCACGTCCTGAAAGGACATGGTTACTAGATGATGATGATGAATATTATACATGAATTCGAAAAAATTAAACAGCGACATTTTAAAGCCTTATCTTCCGGCAAATACGGTAATTATCTCAAGATTAAAACAGTTTTATGTATAACTTTATAGTTACGAATCCCGCTAAAGAGTAAATCTGAACCTCCAGGTTTTTAACTGTTTTTTTTAAAGCAGTCATTTATTTGAAAAAGAAAAAAAAAACAAAACAACGTATTTAGCAATATTTCTTCTAATTAACCAGTAATTCTCTGTCTTCGAAGAATATCTATTATTAAGAGGAAGACAAAAAACGATAAAAAAAATAAACGCCAGTTTCTCTGCTATGATTTTCCATTAAATAATAAAGGATCGAACATCCGCCATTAAAATGATATAATTCTTTTTTATTTTTAATATCGTCAGTCGTTTTTTAAGGTTTCCTTAATCGCTATTTTAGTTTAACTAACGAAGAGAAAGAGCAACGGAGAAAAAGCTAACAATTTTCAATAAGCTAATAAATAAATAAAGAATAAAAGAACGATAACAATCAATAATATCTTTTAAAATTTGAAAACAAAACTAAAACGAGGCTCTCTTTTAATATCGTTCCTGTCATTTTAAAACCCTGTCCTTCTCCACCAAAGCATTTTTTGTCGTTATAAAACTTAAAAAGGTAAAATTATTATCAAGTAAAAATAAATAAATAAAAAGTAAAGAAAAAAAAACAGTAAAATAAATAAATAAATAAATGGAAGACTTGCAAATGTTTCAGCTCGAATTTTTATTTTTTCCAAAAATGGCGTCTTCATGTCCCGCGTTAAAGCCGAAAACCCGCCATCAGTCGATCGTCTCTGTTTGCAAAATGGCGGACAAAGGCGATGATGACTGCACTTTGACAGTCCAAGCCATTGCTAATGATACAGACATAGGAGGCTGGCAGACATGAGTACGCCAAGGGTGGGGTCGAACGTGTGATAATAACAGTATGGTCGCACGTAATGATGGCAAACGGACTAACTGTGAGGCCATCATAGACTCCATTCACTGAGACACCATCGCGGTATTTATGCAATAATCACCTTGAAGGTGAAGGTGTAGGTGCGTGTGTGCATGTGTGCGTGTAGGTGGGCATGTTGGAGATTAGTGACGTTTTTGTTGCAGCCGGTGGTCGGAGTTGGTTGCATTGTTTATTCCGGGGAGGGTTATGGGTCGACATCTTGGCTCTGGGAAAAAGAGATGAATTAATGTGAGAGAAAGAGAAAGGGAAAGAAACGGTGGGTGACATGCTTGATAGATAGATAGATAGATAGATAGATAGATAGATAGATAGATAGATAGATAGATATGGGCATACCAGAGTAGATAGATAGATAGATAGATATGGGCCGACAAGAATGTATAGATATATATGTACATACTAGATAATGAACAGCCTAGAATGGATGGATAGACATGAAGAGACTGAGAGTGATAGATAGATAGATAGATAGATAGATAGATAGATAGATAGATAGATAGATAGATAGATAGATAGATAGATAGATATTGGCACACAAGTATGGCTAGATAGATATAAACAGACTAAGATAGATAATGAACCGATAGATAGATATGGGCCGACAAGGATGAATATATATATATATATATATATATATATATATATATATCAACAGACTAAGATAATGCACAGACTGCGAGAGATAAATAATGGACTGCGACAGATAGATATATATATAGATAGATATGGACAGACGATAGATAGATAGATAGATAGATAGATAGATAGATAGATAGATAGATAGATAGATAGATAGATAGATAGATATGGGCACACAAGTATGGCTAGATAGATATAAACAAAGGTAGATAATCAACAGACAGACAGACAGACAAGTAGATAGATAGATAGATAGATAGATAGATAGATAGATAGATAGATAGATAGATAGATAATAATGAAAAGGATACATATATATATATATATATATATATATATATATATATATATATATATATATATATCAACAGACTAAGATAATGGACAGACTGCGAGAGATAAATAATGGACTGCGACAGATAGGTAGATATATAGATAGATATGGACAGGCTAGAGTAGATAGATAGATAGATAGATAGATAGATAGATAGATAGATAGATAGATAGATAATGAACATAGATAGATAGATAGATAGATAGATAGATAGATAGATAGATAGATAGATAGATAGATAGATAAGGTGATTATCTTAAAGCAATAAAGAGAAAATTGAAATGAAAACCAAGAGAGACCAATTGCGAGACATACAAAGAACACATGTTAGTGTAATATATACAAGATAACTAAATGTAGATGGATTGGAATAAAAGACACATTGATTCCCAATATTAGAGAAATCCAAAAATGTCTCTTTCGACTTTGCCCGGCTCTTTATTTCATGTGCTGATAGTCAAATATGTCTTGCACATTTTTCTTTTGCTTGACATTGAAAAATGTTATTGCGACAAGATTGTCACCGATGGACAAAAACAGATTTATTTCAAGAATCGAAAAAAGACGAACATTATTTGTAGATTAACCTAAACGAAATCTTTTCGGAAAATAAATTTCGTCTCTGAATTTGGTGGGATTCAAAATATATTCTTGGTTATAAATTGTTGACAAATGAGTAGACACCGGGATGGAATGAGGCTCGAGTTGAGGAAAAGAAGAGCGAATTCCAATCGAGTTCATTACATTCACTTGTAATGGTAAAGGTATGTATCCAACCCTTCCCCCCAGCTATGGCTAAATAGTAGGACAGATTGGCAATCGATCTAGGAGAAGGAAAATTCTGAATTCAAAACTGCATGAAGCGCTGGCGAAGCATATACGATGAATTTAAGGATTGTTTACATTGATTCGATCATCTCGACTATTGACTTACGAGCTTATACACTTGGGAAAGGTATGAATCCAAGACTTTCTCCCCAGCTATGGGTAAATAGTAGAACAGACTGGCAACCGGTCTAGGAAAAGGATGATTCTAAAATATAGTATATATATATATATATATTATTTACATTATTCGGACTATTGTCCTCATCTTTGTCGCCATACTTATCACAACGTTTCGGCCGTTGTACGCTCCGGCCTTCTTCAGGTGGTTGAAATTTCGAACTTAACCCTTTATTTCGCTCACTGGGGTAGACGGTACTAGTTCCACGTGCCATGTTTTGATGGACCAGGACACATGGCACAGTGGATAAAGGCGTTGGTTAGATCCAGTGACAGGACCCAAAGAGTGTGAGTTCAATACCCGGTTAAGGCAGTGGAGAACTTTCAGAGGGAAATTAGCAGGAGATAACTGACACGTGGAACTAGAACAGTCTACCCCAGTGAGCGAAATAAAGGGTTCAGTTCGACATTCCAACCATCTGAAGAAGGCCGGAGCGTACAACAGCCGAAACGTTGTGATAAATATGGCGACAAAGATGAGGACAATAGTCTGAATAATATAAATAATGTACATAATAACTCATCTCAGAAATATAGACAATATATATATATATATATATATATATATATATATATATATGGCAAAGCACATACTATACAGTTAAGTAAAGGGTCGTTCGCATTGTTCGACCGCCGACTCCTTAATTTACTACTGCACTTGATCCGTCATTCATGTAAGCAGACTTATTAAGTAAATGTTTCACCACCGGTGTGCCTGGACGCACTATTGCGCTCTGAAAGGGTAGCCATCTGCGTCCTAAGTTAACAGAAGTGCAGTTTATGAATTATTTAAAAATATATATATATTTATGAAAAGCTAGAGACACCAAGTTTATGGCTTCCATGTCTAAGTCAAGTTTTTGTTATTTGATATTTTAAATTGGTTGCTAAATTACTTAATCTTTAAGAAGGAGTTGATAATCCTTTCTCTTCTCTAAAAAGTGGCTAGGATCAAAGTGTAGTATCTGCGCTTTGTGAGCTGCCGGGTCGGGTGTTTGTCGAACTCTCTGCTTGCAGAGAGGAACCCGGACGAAGCTCCGCCGAAGGGTAGGGTTTCGTTCGGGGAGGATGACGGAACTGGCCCGCCTCGGCGGGTTTGGATATTTATTTATTTTTGGCTGGACCTACGGGCTCAGAGATACCCACATTAAAAAGGCCTTGTGCCACATTCGATCCCCGTGGGTGGATTGATAAATGCCATAATCCTTTCCCTTTTGCCTTCCTCAAGAAATTCAAATCAGTCATTATCAACCTCTCAAAAGAAAATAAAGCAGATTTTTCATAAATCCCTTTATATGTTAACTGTACCCTTAATTCTCTTTGGGAATGCTGAACCAAAATAGACAAACACCATTAAAAGTAAATTTCTTTGCCAAAACACAAGATTCGCACAAGCATATTTAAATATACAATGCAATTTCTTAAAAATAAATGCTTATTTTAGGAGACTTCATTATTATTTACCAATTTCTAAATGTCAGGAATAATTTTTCCTTAAGTTTTAGTTATTCTGCAAGTGCACCCTGAAGTAAAAAAAATGGTTAAGGAATACGGCATTAGGTGGAACACACGTTTATTTCCTTTGTCGTTAATATATCCTGTGAGTGTTGATTTCTCTCAGCCTCCTTTCCTCAATAGGGGTTCAAGAATGTTTTATTCTTCTTAAAACCAAATCACATATTCTATCAATGCTATTGTTGGCATTTATTGGCCGAATTGATGCTCTGTTACTTTAAATAATTTCTCTATCCTGAGGAAATTGGCCAATATTTAATGACATATATGATATTAAATATAACAGACCGGTTGAGTATGATTTACATTTCTTTTAAGGACATTATACTACACGGTATTTACTCTGTTTCCCCATTGAGACGAGATGTGACACAAGGTCTTCCTTAAGGTGGGGACCCGAGCGTGAACAACCGGACGAGGAACAAATATTGCCCTCAACCCACGCAACCATCGGTTGCGCTGGCCTCGGTGCGAGCACCGATCCCTCTCTCTGGTGCCATGAAAAGGCGCGGTCTTGGGGAGTTCTTTCCCAGGGCTGGGCCCCTCTCAATATGATTTTCTCAGTTGCTCCTCTATCCTTTGACAGAGTAGCCTCTGAGTGCACTCTGTCCAAAGGCAGAGACGCAACTGAGAGATGATAAGTAGACGTGTTAGAAACTCCTCCAAGGAGTAATTTACACGCGGTATTTACTCATTCCACCCGCCAACTAGGATGAGATGTGACACAAGGTCTTTTTTTAGGTGGGTACTCGAGTGCGTACACCCGGGCAAGGGACAAAAATTGCCCATAGCGCCCGCGATCCCTTTCTCTAGTGCAATGAGAGGGCGCGGCCTTGCGCAGCTGTTCCTCAGGGCTTGGCACCTCTCAGTATCATTTTCTTCAGTTAAAAAAAAGATTAAGAAAAAGTTCTTAAGTTAAGAAAAAATTGCATTTTATCTGGCCTTCAACAAGTTGGCATCTATTTGTAAAACTTTCCTTAACTATAACAAGCCAATTATGAATAAAATGTTCATTTAAAATTTTTGCTTTCTAGATTTCAAGTAGTGAATATATCTTACTTTGCGAGGAACAAATATTGCCCTCAGCCCCGGCAACCGTCGGTTGCACTGGCCTCGGTGCGAGCACCGATCCCTCCCTCTGGTGCAATGAGAGGGCGCGGCCTCAGGCAGCTGTTCACCAAGGCTGGGCACGTCTCAGTATAATTTTCTTCAGTTGCGACTGTCCTTTGACGGAGTCGCTCCTGAGCGAACTCTGCCCAAAGACAGAGACGCAACTGAGAGATAATAAGTACTGTGTTAGAAACTCCCCAAGAGGAATTTACACACTTATAGTTATTTTCCAAGCGTAGATTAGATGTGGCACAAGGCAGGAAGCATGGAGCACCCAGTGAAGATCGAACTCACTATTAAGTTGTAATTATTCTAGCGAGACAAGCTTGCTAACCATTACACCACCTAGAGGTGCCGTTGTCGTCTGATACTACACTACCCAGGTAAATGTCCTTATCTGACTTACTTTACGATCCTAAGTACGTACCCTGGGCTGTCTTTTCCGCTGAAAATCGGGTGTTCAGTCCGATATTACAGTGAACTCGTTTGAATGACGTATTAGAACAAAAAACAACATTTTTTTAAATTTATTTCTAGGCAAGGAAGTTGACCTTTAAATTTGCTGCATGACATGGTAAAAGTCATTTTCGATGACCGCGTTTTCAAAATGATGCATTTTCAAAATGAGACAAACATCCTTTTTTTTAAAAAAAACAAAAAATAAATTTAAAAATGTAACAAATTTTGAAAATGATACAGTAAGCATATAAAGACATAAAACAAGCAAAACATAATTGGAAAAGAGGCAAAAAAACATTTTCAGGAGAAAATTACTTTTGAAAATGTGAACAGATTTAAATTTTTAAATAAAAACTGAAATCATTTTGAAAAAAGAATCTTTATTTTAAGATAATGAGCTAAAAACCCTTTTGAAAATGTGGCCAAATTTAAATTTTATAAGAACACAAAATTCCTTTTTAAAACGATAGCATCAAACGCTCATGGAATTAATTTGGAAGTTCTGCAACAGATGTAACCTCTAGGCTTGCTAGTTTCAGAATATTGATAAAAAAAACACGTTGGTGAGTGAATAATTACGCTATGAATTTAAATAAATAGAGAATGAAACGCACGATGTTTACTTTTGTATCGATTTCATATGATAGAATACGAAGTTGAACTGAAATTTGGCCTGAGATCATTTGAAGCTAAGAAAGCTACATTGATGACTTCATAATAAGGCCATTAATTTATATGAATAAAATATTTTGTTATACTTGAAACTATTGCGTCAGCCTCATATTATATAATATACAATTTCAATTTCAGCCTAAGATCACAGAAAGTCAAGGAATATTCTTTAATGAACGAATAATAATGCTATGAACTTATATAAATGACACATTTTA